TATCTATCTATCTATCTATCTATCTATCTATCTATCTATCTATCTATCTATCTATTTATATATCTATCCGTCCCTCACTGGGCACAGGTGGTGTCAGGCAGGAGATAGGACACCTCAGTACGGACCACCGACTCCAGCTGTGCGGAGGAGATGAAGGAGACGATGGTGAGAGTGAGCCGCACTACGTCACACCTCGGCACACACTCTATCACCAGGTGGTACCCGGCTCCTGGAAAGGGTGGAGTTTATTTTTAGTAAGCGCTTTACCAAAGACCGTGAAGTGGAGAATATTTGGTTTTACAGCACAAATAGGGGAGATATGGTCGTTTTTAAGGACAAGCGGGCTAACCCAGATTTCGGGGGGTTTCCAGATATCTTGACCTACAACAAAAGTGGGCATTGCCCTATCTACAGGAGAAGTTTGGTCTCAGTTGTGTGTACATTTGTTAGGTTATAGAGAAAACTCTCTTTGTTTTTAAAAAAAAAACTGAACAAGGGGCGAAAAGTTTACCTTCGATTTTCTCAAAACAGCATTTTTCGGGATAGCCCCCTTGTGCTTAAAAGCGACCATATATAAACGCCGAAGATTAAAAGTGTTACTGGAGAGTAACGTACAAAGACAAGTAGGAGGAGCGATAAAGACGATAGACGTTGGATGTGAAAGAAGGAGCAAACGACACCAGAGCACCCACCAACGACCCACGAAAGGGAAGGTGTTTGTCTTTTTTTCTCTTAATTTCTGTTGTTGTTGGTTTTGTTTGTTTGTTGGGTTGTTTTTTTTTTTTTTTTTTTTTTTTTTTTGGGGGGGGGGTAAATTAGGGATGGTTATACAAGTTTTAATAATACGTTCGCCTCTTTTGTTGATTAGTCGAATAACGTAGTGCTTGCAGCTATCGATCTCATTTTCAGGCTGACAATTCTTATAATTTGCTTGGATTCTTTGAGTAAAAGTCTGATAGATTAAATTTTGTTTGTCTTACCGTGCACATCTTGCAGATTGCTATTCTGTTGTATTGTCTCAGATAAATTGTTAAGTGGTCGCTTTTAAGAACAAGCGGGCCAACCCAGATTTCGGGGGTTTCCAGAATTCTTGACCAACGCCAAAAGAGAGCATTGCCATACCTATAGGAAAAGTTTGGTTTCATGTGTGTGTATATCTGTTTGGTTATAGAGAAACGTCTCCTTGTCTTTTAAAGAAACTGAACTATGGGCAAAAACTTTAATTTCGATTTTCTCAAAACAGCATTTTTCGGGATAGCCCCCTTGTGCTTAAAAGCGACCAAATGTGTCCCACGTCCCTATGAAAAATCACAATAATAATAATTTACCGATGTCCAATATTCAAATTATAACGTTTTCATTGACGCTGCGCATTCAATCCTTTTTCTAATTCTATGATCTCGCTCACCATAGAGCTTTTTGAGGAACATAGAGGTGCCGCAGCACAGCAGCTCTCCGTTGGCCATGATGGCTATCCTGTCTCCCAGCGCGTCCGCCTCGTCCATGTAGTGTGTGCTGAGGACCAGGGTTCTGTCCCTGCGTCTGTTCTTGAGCAAGTCCCAGGTGTGGCGCCGGGTGGAGGGGTCCATGCCACTAGACGGCTCGTCCAGGAACACCACCTGAACATGAGGACATGAGGACATGTGTCAGTCACCTCCTTCGGAAC